ATATATATATATAATAAATTGTTTCTCCGTTTCGTTCTCCGGCTTTCCGTTTCACATTGCACGTTGGGATGCTACCGCATGTCGGTTTATATGAGCGTTTGGTGCAATGTAGTTGACATATTGTATGTCACTCCGGTTTAGTGGTGTGGTGCTGTTACACGCGCGCGCATCGTATATATGATGATGGAGCCTGAAATTGACTGCAATAGAAATGTTATGTGTATGGCATATTATGAAGGGCCAATAGGAGATTATAGTCCGAGCTGCCCGCTAAAACATAAAATCATCCGGAAAAATAATTAAAATCAAACGTATTCATCTCATTTTATATTTTACTTGACTGTTGCTATAACACCATTGTATATCCTACATACCATTGTAAGCATAAAATACTCTAGCAGTATTTCTATCACATTTTCCCCATGCAGACGGTTGTGATTAAATCAAGACGTTTCATGCGTGTGTTACCTACCATAGCACTCAGTGTTTGGGATGACAACATGGCTGTATTAATTTATTACTAATTACAGGAGTGAATAATAATAATAGATAATGATATAGAATCTATTATTATTCACTCTTGCTAGTTGTATATTCGTATGTGTGGCGCGGTACGCATTGTGATAGGACCGGCTTATTACATTGTCATACATATACTGAAGTTTATATCATGTATATAACATAAATACATAATATATATATATATATGTATTTAAGAAAATTATAAAAATTACGCATATAACATAACATCAGGAGTGAATAATAATAGATCTATAATAATAATAGTAATAATAATAACAACAACAACAATAATAATAATATTAATAATATATCTGTTATTTTGCACTCGTGATATAATGTATCCCCGTGGCTGGCTCTTTAACTGATATTAAAACAATTCTGTCAATAACTCTGTGGCTAATTATCTCACCGTTCATCAATTATTCAATCAACCTAACTATCTATCTATCCGTCCGTCTGTCCGTCCGTCTAACTGTCCAGTCTGCCCGCCTGTCCGCCCGTCTAACTATCCACCCACCCACCAAACAACCCACCCACCAACCCACCCGACGATCAATCGATCGATCCATCCATCCATCCATCCATCTATCCATCCATTTATTAATCGATCCATCCATCCATCCATCCATCCATCCATCCATCCATCCATC